CGTGGCGGCCATTGGAGGGTGAACCAACGGCAAAGGAAGACCTCTCTCTCTCTCTCTCACTATCCACTCTGCCTGTCAAAAAATAAAAAAAAAATTTTTAAAAGTTGATTTATGTAAAATCTGGAGTGGATGATCTCAAATGAAATTAAGAAAGTAATTCTGTTTACTATAACATCAAGAAGAAAATCATAAGTTTAACATCAGATGTGTGATTTGATACACTGAAAACTAGAACATATAAGTGGAAGAAATTAGACTTAGATTTAGCTACTGCAAAACTTAATCTTGGTAAGATGGCATTACTCCCAAACTGATCTGTACATTCAGTGCAATTTCTGTTCTGTACATTCAGTGCAATTTCTGTTAAAATCCCACCTCTCTTGCAGAAATTGACAGGCTGATGCTAAAATTTGCATGGAAATGCAAGGGACCCAGAAAAGTCAAAATAGTCTTGACATGGAACAAAGCTGGAGGCATCACACTTCCTTATTTTTACCTTCATGTTAAACTGCAGTCATTGGGACATTGTGTTACTGGCTGACACAGAGGTAGACATAGCTCCATGAACCTGTTTGAGAGTTCAACTAATTTCAACAAAAATGCCGAGACAATTTAATGAGGGAAAGAACATCTTGTCAACAAATGAAGCTGGGACAACCTCATATCCACATGCAAAAGTATCAGAATGTATATAAAAATGAATGTAAGAATTATACCTCAGAGCTAAAGCTATAAAACGTTCTAAAAGAAAAAATAGGAGAAAATCATCAGTGCCTTGTATTAGGCATTGGTTTCTGAGATATGACATTAAAGCAGGAGCCACAAAATAAAGGCATCATATTTTGTCAAAATTAAAAACTTGTGAATGCAGGGCCCCGAGTCTCACTGTGGAAACTGGCTGGGCGTCTGCGTTGTCTGCATCTCGCTACAGGAGCCTTATACTGAAGACACCATCTGGAAGCTCCTACTTTGTAATTGTTGGCCACCATGATAATCCAGTTTTTGAAATGGAGTTTTTGCCCGCTGGGAAAGCAGAATGCAAAGCTGAGCATCGTCATCTGAACAAGTTCATAGCCCTCGCAGCCCCTGATCTGGTAGATGAGAACAGGTGGCTCCCGAACAACAGCAGCAAGTACTTGAGGACTGTGGACTAGTTCAACGAGCAGTTTGTGTCAGCATTTGTCACGCAGAACGTATGAGATTTATGATGTCCCATGATAAAGGCAAAAAGATGGAATAAAAAACTTCTTTACTGATGTCTGATTTATAAGGTTTGTGATCCATTTTATGAACTCCGTTCTCCTATTCAGTCAAGTGCGTTTGACAAAAAACTTCAGTTTCTTGGGAAGAAACTCCTTTTAAGCTGAACACAGAAAAACTCCAAAACAGCGTAGCTGCAGTGGGGTATACTCGGAAATGTGTACCTTGGTAGCACAAGCCAATCCAAGCACCTTCATTTACTATAGCCCTTTATTCAAATCTATACAAGCACCAAAAATTAAACATTATGCAAAGACTATGCACACACACACACACACATAAAATAAGCTGAATTGTGTTCCCCTAAGATTCATGTTACAGCCTTCACAATGTGGCTGTATTTGGACACAGGACCTTAAAGAAGTGACTAAGTTAAACAAAGTCATCAGCATAGGCCCTGATTCAGTTTGATGTCCTTATAAGGAGATTTGGTATAAGGGACACAGCTGTGTGTGTGCATGGGGGAAACCATGTGAGGACACAGAAGGTGGCTACCTGCAAGCCATGGAGAGCTTTCCAGAGAAACCAAAGCCACTGAACCTTGGCTGGACTTCCAGGCTCCAGAACTCTGAGAGATCTGGTGTTGAAGCTACCCAGTCTGTGTTTTGTTGTGGCTGCCCTAGAAAACTGATAGAGTATGCTTTCCTTCCCAGGAAATTGATACATAGGTGCCTCCAGAGATAAGAACTGAATGACAAGGGTGGATTTATTTGTTCCTTGGGCTTTATGATTTTGAATCATGTGACTAATAACTAAACAAAAAATTAACTACAATAGAAATCACTCCTAACCAAAAAAAAAAAAAAAAAAAAAAAAAAAAAAGCCTTGTTTGCCAAAGAACACTATCAAGAAAATGAAGACAGTCCTCAGGAGGGGAGAGAATATTTGCAAGTCATGTGTCTGTCCTCTTACAACTTACAAAAAAAGAAAAGAACCCACATGTTTAAATGGGTGAAGAATTTGCACAGACGTTTGTCCAGATAGGATGTTCCAAAGAGCCAGTAAGCGCATGGAAAGGTGCTCAGCACCATCATCTAGTAGAGATGCAATTCAGAGCAACAAACAGCACCGCACACTCATAGGATGGCTGTAGAATATCTAAAAGGTGGAAAATACCCTGGGGTGTTGCTGCGGGAGTGTAACGTGGGCAGCTGCTTTGCAAAACAGTTTGGTGTTCCTCAAAAACAGAGGTGACAAGTGAGCCAGCACTCCCACTCCTAGGTGTATTCTCAAGAGAACTGAAAATACGTCCACACACCAGTGTTCACTGCATTATTCAGAATAACCTCTAGATGAAACAACCCAAATGTTCATCAGCTGATGAAAGGATAAACAAGTGGTATGTACGTACAGCGTAATAGTATTCAATGATAAACAATGAAGTACTGATTCATAATGCAACATGGGTAAACCTTGAAAACTTGCTGAGCCATTATTGAAGTGCATGGGATAAGCCACTGCCTGCGGTGCCCACATTCCATATCAGAGTCCCACTGTTCCACTCTGGGCCCCGTGCCCTGTTCATGTACCTGGGAAAGGAAAAGATGGCCTGAGTGCTTGAGATCCTTGCCACCCACATGGGAGACCTGGGTGGAGTTCCTGGCTCCTGGCTTCAACCTGGCCCAGCCCCGGCCATGGTGGCATTTGGGAATGAACAAGCAGATGGAAGATCTCTGTCTCTATCTCTCTGTCTCTCTCTCTAACTCTGCCTTTCATATACATAAATCAGAAGTCAATGTCATGCTAAATAAAAGACCGGACACAAAAGATAACACATGTGATGCTTTTTATATGAAATGTCCAGAGTAGGCAGTCCTCAGATAGAAAGCACACTGTGGGTATGAGGAATGAGTGCTCATGGCTGTGGTGATGAATGGCTGTGGTGCTCTGAGATTAAATGGTGGTGATAGTAACACAATTCAGTGAACATACTAAAAGCCACTGAATTGTTTTGAAGAAAAACAGAACTAGTAAGGTTATGTCACATTCTCTGAAGCCAGCTTGAAGAGACTGACAGACCAAGTAAGGGAGACAGTTTGAGTGTTAGTAAGCATAATTGGAGTATGTTGTGAAACACTTTATGTATGTTTAAATCTGTGAGTAATAACATCAAAACATATAAAACATAAAAACTCATTTTGAAAACTTTTTTAACAAATGGGAAGAACTCTTTGTACTGCCTGTTCTAGATTAACCAATCCTCAATTCTTACAGAAGCAGTTTGGTCATACCCCAAGGCAGCCAATTACCTAATATGAGAGACAGTCTCTTTCTAGAAATATAAGCTTATAAACAACCAAATAAGTAGTGATAACATTTAGAAAATACTTTGTGTAGCCGTGATAAATTAATGGACTTAAGCAGTTATCAATTACTGCTAGCATCAGCACAGAGAAAACCGACTGTGTACCTGTGGAGTTGTAGTCTTGCCAAAACACAACTCGAGTGTCTTCAAAGCCCCTTTATCTCATTACCTAAGTACAGGAACTAGGGAGCAAGCATGTGAAATAGCACCACAGCGTGCAGTGAGTGAAAAAGTCAGACTCTGGGAAACTATAGAATAACAACAGCAAAAACTTACAAATAAAGGAGACAAGAAAGGAACCTATACCTTAAAAAGACACAAGAGATTACAGTGCATGGATTGTATTTGGTACTCAAAGAAGTGTGAAGAAAATGTCTAATGCTATTGTAACTGGGGAAATGACTACTAAACCATATATTTACTAAATTAAAAAATTATTTAGGAGGACAGCATTGTGGGGTAGCCAGTAAAGCCTCCTCCTGTGACACTGGCATCGTCTGTGGTCTCCCGTTATATTCTGGCTGCTCCACTTTCACTCCAGTTCCTTGTTAATGGCCTGGAAGGCAGTTGAAGATGGCCCAAGTGCTTGGACCCCTGTGATGGAGACCTGGTTGAAGCTTCTGTCTCCTGGCTTCAGCCTGGCTCAGCCCTGGCCCTTGCAGCCACTTGGAGAGTGAACCATTGGATGCAGGGCTTCTCTCTCTCACTTCTTTGTCTCCCTCCCTCTCTCTCCTTCTGACTTTGACTTTCAAATAAATAAATCTTAAAAAATAATTATTTTTTGGCATGATGATACTGATAGGTTATATCCTTATATTTTAGAAGTCTAAGCTAAACTATTGGCAATTGAAATGATGTGGTATCTGCAATTTGCTATAAAAGAAGAGGGAAGGATGTGACTGTTGAAGGGAAAGCACAAGGTGGATTTGGGAAATAAACTGTTCTGTATCTTGACTGTGTAGTGGTAACCACAAACCTATACATGTGTGAAAATTCATGTAACTGACACTAAAAGAGGGAAAAAATTTTATGGTACCTAGTTTTAAAAATAGTTTTAAAATCTCATAGGGAAAGTGAGTGGAAGAATAAGTAAGTTAGACTATGACTGCTAATGTTTGGAGCTTGTGATGACAGTGATACTATTCTGTGTACTAAAACTGGTTACTTATAATTATTTAGAATATAATATGAAAGCCTAGAATATTTGAAATTATTATAGGCAGCAAATCGAGAAAAAAATAATTTTGTGATGAAGGTGTCCTTGTATTGCAAACTTGCTTAGTGTGGCACTAATTGAAATATAATTGGATAAAGTTATGAACAGATGGAAATATTGTGATTAAAGATGTTTTAGACCATATAAATATATATGTGAAGTTACTCAAAGTTTTGTTATTTTGTTTTCTGTTTTTTCTGTTTTGTGGTTTTTTGATAGGATGAGAGAGGCTGCAAGAAAAATAGAAGAAAGGCATTTTTCCAATCATGCAACACATGTGGAATTTCTGCCTGTTGAGTGGCGGTCAAAACTTACTCTTGATGGAGGTATATTTTGTTTAAAAATTGAATGATACATAGTCATTGGCAAACAACCGAAGTAAATGTAGAAAAACACTTGTGCTCCCTGGGGACAAAGTGTTTTCAATTTAATTGTTGTGAGGTATACTTACTCTTTGTTCTAGATTATTTAAGAAAATAAAATCCATTTATTGTTAAAACAGTTACTGACATATCATTTAGACCACGATGTAGACTTCACAGGTGGCACCATTTCCATGCATGTCCTCACTGGAGGGGAGTGAGGTGTATGTGGAAGGAACAAAATGTTTTCTAAACCTTTTTACTTTAAAGTCATTTGCTAGTGCATTAAAAACATTAGTTGTCCACAGTTCCATATTAGCTTCCGTTTTCTCCTTAGTAGCTTTCATCCCCTATATTTGGAAAATAAAATTTCAGGGTTTTTATTTTCTTTTGTTGTTGTCCATGCATTCCCTGAGCTGGTGAATTAGACTCTTGCATAGAATTTGTGCAATATACTTGTCAAAATCATTTTAGTTCCTTTCCTTAAAGAGCTATTAGCCAAAATAGGTATCTTTCTTTGCACAAAGTTGTATACACTGAATATTAAAACCATAAGGTAGGGGCCAGCATTGTGGCACGGTGGGTTAAAGTCCCAGCCTGCAGTGCCAGGATCCCATTTGGGCACTAGTTCAAGTCCTGGCTGCTCCACTTCCGGTCCAGCTCTCTGTTATGGCCTGGGCAAGCAATAAATGACCCAAGTGCTTGGGCCCCTACACCCATATGGGAGTCCTAGAAGAAGTTCCTGGCTCCTAGCTTCGGATCAGCTCAGCTCTGACCATTGTGGTCATCTGGGGAGTGAACTAGCGGATGAAAGACCTCTCTCTCCCTCCCCCTGTTTCTCTTCCTCCTCCCCTCTCTCCCTCTCTCTCTCTCCCTCCCCCCCCCCCCCGCCTCCCTGCGTGCCTCCCTCTCTCTCTCTGGCTTTACCTCTCTCTGTAGCTCTGTCTTTCAAATAAATAAAATCTTTAAAAAAAAAAAAAATAAGGTAGAATGTTCAGGATGATTATTTGTATAACCTGGAAAATGAGAGTTGTAAAACCAGTGCCATGCGTGGAGCCCTTAACCACATACCTGACACTCTGCTCTGCCCTTTACCCAGAGAATCTCACCTCATTTTCCCAAAACTCCTTGAAATACCTATTTCATTTTACTGATAAGGAAACTGGAACTCTGTAAAAGGTGAATTTAACTAAGAGAGGCAGACAGACTCTAGGCCTGAATGGTGACAGAGCTGCCTCCCTGAGTGATGCCCGAAAGATTCTTCCAGGTCTGTGACCCTGTCTCCTGGTCATTGGGGAATGTCAGTTACAGTTCATCAAACTAAAATGGGTCAGAAGTTGTAGAGAGTCCTCAAGGATGCTAAGGACAAGAAAGATTTCAGTAGCAACAGTGCATGCGTAAAGTTCTGGTGTAATAATAGCACTGTCCTTTGGGCTTTCCCTGTTTATACAAATAAATTTCAGGATGCCTAGGAATATCAACATTATTATTAACATTTAGTAAAACTCTGACTTTATGATTTCTGTTAGGCTTAAACTATTATGGTAGTTTCAGGGGCATTATAGTGAGTGAAAGAAGACCGTCTTGAAAGGTTACATAACTTACATTTCCATTTATGTGACATTCTGGAAAAGGCAAAACCACAGAGACAAAGAACAGATTAGTAGTTGCCAGGTCTTAAGGGAGGAGAAGAGGGCTTCATTCAAAGGGGCTAGATGTGCTGGAACAGTGCCAAGTCCTGTCATGGTGGGGCACTGCTGTGTTTAAACTTTAAAATAATGAAAGGATGTCTGCCTATAGCAAATAGCAGTAGTGCTCATTGGTAGTAAAAACCAGAAAACATTTCCTTTAAATCAGGAGCAAATTAAAGATTTCTACTCTTAAGATAGATTTTTTTTTTTTTTTTTTTTGACAGGCAGAGTAGACAGAGAGACAGAGAGAAAGGTCCTCCTTTTGCCGTTGGTTCACCCTCCAATGGCAGGAGCCAGGTACTTATCCTGGTCTCCCATGGGGTGCAGGGCCCAAGCACTTGGGCCATCCTCCACTGCACTCCCTGGCCACAGCAGAGAGCTGGCCTGGAAGAGGGGCAACCGGGACAGAATCCGGCTCCCCAACCGGGACTAGAACCCGGTGTGCCGGTGCCGCTAGGCAGAGGATTAGCCTAGTGAGCCGCGGCACCGGCCTAGATTTTGTTTTAAATTTATTCCAAAGGCAGAGTGACAGAGAGAGAGAGAGAGATTCAGATCTTCAGCTACTGGTTTACCCCCCAAATGACTGCAAGAGCCAGGGCCGGACTAGGCTGAACCCAAGAGCCACGGACTCCATCCAGGTCTCCAGCGTGAGTGGCAGGGACACAAGTACTTGGGTCCTAAATTCCCAGGCACTTGAGCAGGGAGCTGGATTGGAAGGAGAGCAGTGTTGACTTGAATTGTCACTCCAGTAGGGGATGCCAGTGTCACAGGTGTCAACTTAACCATTCTACTTAAAGTCTTAGTAGTGTAATTAGAAAAAGAAATAATAGTTATAAAGAATCAAAAACATCTATTTAGATTTGCAAGTCATATGATTATTTACTTAAAGAATATACAGAAAATTTATTATTTATGAAATAGAAGATTTGTATATTAAAATAATAGCATTTCTGTATACTAACAGGTAACAGAATTGGCATCAAAACTAAGATTCCAATAAATCTAATAAGATTTTTTTATATTTAGAGTAAAACTATTAAGAAAGTAAATTTAACTTAAAAGATAGTTTTCATAGATTGAATGATTTAACATTTTGGATATTGATGCTTCCAAATTGATTTATACATTCCAATCAAAATCTCCATAGATTTTTAATGAAACTTGACGAGTTAATTCTAAAGTTATAGAAAAGCAAATCACCTAAAGTAGCCAAGACACAGAACAAGTGATTCAAGGGTGGGAGACATGTTCTTCCAGATAGCCACACCTATTACTTAACTTCTGCAGTTAAGGCAGTTTAATGTTGGCACAAGGATGAACAAATGGAATTGTATACCAGATTAAAGACCCTAAACAAATTTGTGCTTAATTTGGAAACCTGATATGTCACAGCTTGATGTAACTTCTCATTGGTGACAGGATGGCCTATTCTGTAAATAGTGGTTGGTGAAAAATGCTATCTGCTTCTACATGTATCAAAGACATGCTATATGAAAGTCAAGTTCAAAAATTTTAGGAAAAAAATACAAGAATATTTTTATGATCTCATTACAAGCAAAGAATTCTTAACACAAAAATACAACTATATGGGGTTGATGTGGCATAGCGGGTAAGCTGCTGCCCTCGGCACCTGCATCCCATATGGGTACCGGTTCATGTCTCAGATGCTCCACATCCAATCCAGCTTGGAAAAGCAGCCCAAGATGGCCCAACTGTTGGGTCCTGCCATTCACTCACGTGGGAGATCCAGCTGAAGCTCTTAGCTCTTGGCTTCAGCTTAGCCAGACCCTGGTAGCCACAGTCATTTGAGGAGTACACCAGCAGATGGGAGATCTCTCTGTCTCTCCCTCTCTCTCCTTGTAACTCTTAATTTCAAATAAATAAATCTTTTTAAAAAAAATATAGCTATAAAGTAACAGGGATAATTAAAGTGAAGAGCTTCTTTGTCAGTTGACTGTATAGACCATCAAGAACAAAAGAAGCCACAAACTGGGAAAAGATGTTGAAACAGCAACAGATATAACTTCCACAGGTTTGACATCCAGAATAAAGAGCAGGAAACTTTAATGGGAAAGGACACACACACACGAAATGTATATCACAAGACATGCAAATGAAAACTACAGTGAAATATCATGTTCAACTATCAGGCAGAAATTTAAGAAAGTAATAAAACCATATGTTGGTGATTGGTAGCAGTGAGGATTCACATTAACTACTGATGGGAATATAAATAAATACAACACTTTGGAAGAGGAGTTGATATCACTTTGTAAAGTTAAGTGTATGGGTGCCTGCCCTGTGACACTGCAGTAACACTCCTATGATACACACACTAAGAAAACTCACCATGTGCACCAGTGACTCCAGGCATCCACATGGATATCGCAAGGCCCAGTGTGCACAGCTCAAAAGAAGAAACAAGATGAAAAGAAAACTGAAAAGGAAGTCAGAGTTGGGATTGTGTCTTTTGACCCTTATTCCAGAATAGATGGCGTGTTTTTGGTCAGGGACCCCTGAATGCCATGCCAAAGCCAGGTTTTATTGATAATGGCCTTCATTCTATGTTTTAGTTTTTTACTAACTTTTCTTACAGTATTTTGCAGGAAGGAAAGGTCTGCTACAGCCAAAATTAGTTTTGGCTTATTTTATGTGGTATAATTTTTGTTCTGTAATTTAGAAGGATATTCTGTAAGTTTAATTTTGTTCTTTTTATAGACACTGTTGATTCCATTACCCCTGACAAAGTACGAGGGTTGAGGGACATGCTGAACAGCAGTGCCATGGACATAATGTATTACACCAGCCCGCTTTATAGAGATGAAGTAAGTGCCGTGATGATCTTGTGTCCTTAGTAGTGCAGCTGATCATTTTCAAACTAAGCATTAGGACTTTTAATAAAATTTTTAACTTGTAAAGTTAATTTGTCAAATTCTATCAAGCACCTTTGACACATTTTCATTTGTATAAGCTAATAAAATGACTTAGATCTGACAAAGGCAATAACTGGTAGTATTTATTTATTTCAACTGATTGATGCAGATTTATGGGATAGTGTGATAATTATATATATATGCAATCATTGTATAATGATCAAATCAGGGTATCTAGCATTTCTACTTCCTTAAACATGATTGCTTCTTTGTGTTAGGAACTTTAAGACTCCTCTCTCCTAGCTCTTTTATTATCGTTTTAAGATTTATTATTTGAAATGCAGAGTTACAGAGGGGAGAGACAGACTTATCTTCCACCTGTTGTTTCACTTCCCACATGGTCGCAATGGCCAGAGCTGGGCAAGGCCAAAGCCAGGAGCTCAAAAGTGTATCAGCGTCTCCCATGTGGGTGGCAGGGGCCCAAGCGGTTGAGCCATCATCCACTGCTTTCCCAGGAGCGTTTGCAATGAGCTATATTAGAAGTGGAGCCAGGACTTGAGCTGTTGCTAGTATTGGAATGCTGGCATTGCAGGCAGTAGTTTAACCTGCTATACCACAACTTCTAGCTCTTTTTAAAAATATGTAATAAATGTTAGTCATTATCATCACCATACCTTATTATAGAGTTTATTCTTAGGATTGCTTCTTTTTTACAACTGAATAATATTCCACCATGTACAGTTATTACATTTTATTCATCAGTCAGTGGACACCTCAGTTGTTCCATACTTTGAGTATTGTAAGTAGTACAGTGTGTGCAGGAATCGCTTTGATAAGCTGGTTTTATTTTATTTGGGTATTTACCCAGTAGTGCAATAACAGGAACATCAGACAGTTCTAGTCTTAGTTTTCTGAGGGACTGCCATACTGTTGTCCAGAATGGCTGAGTAACTGCATTCTCACCAGTAATGGTAATAGTTCCCCTGTCTCTGCATCCTCACCAGCATTTGTTGTTTTTCCTTTTCAATTATAGCCTTTGATTTGAAGAAGGGAAACAGGGAAAAACGGGTTCTGTTCTACACCCTGGTTCTATAAATTGAGTGGACAAGAAAAGTGAAGTAGCACTGGATGTAGAGGAACGGTGCACCTGCGTGGGTTTGTGTTAGCCTCTAAGTGGAGGACAGCCTGAGATCAGGAATATGAAGGGAGCAGAAGCCAGGCCCTGGCACATCCACATGGAGGAAGTAGCTGCTGGGTTCATGCTGGTCACAGAATCTGGGGAGGCATGAAATAGCCACCCGTGCTGGAGGTGAGCACCAGCCTCAGTGCCTTCTTCCCTTGCCTTCTAAGAGCAGCTACAGAGAGAGCCTGATTCTAACCAGCAAGGACAGCCTGCTTGGTGAAGTGGAATACTTCCCAGTTCTGTACACTGTACAGTGGGCATTGTAGATATGTCCTAAAGGCTAGAAAACTCAACCGCAATACTGCCAGTAAGCCAGGGAGGGAGAAAACTGGGACGAGGATGGCTGGCAGCAGATCCATGTGCAGAGAAAGAGAGGAGCGCGTACTTTTAATCCCTTTCTCCATGAACTGTTGGAAGTACCGTCATACCTACACCCATACCTCTGAGAGGATATCCTGATACGTTCTAGGCTAACTTGTGCTGAGCCATGTCCCTAAGAGTAATAGGAAGGGCTTTTTTGAAAGTGACATTAATAGCAAGACAAACTACCAAGAGCAGAGTTTCAGGTCAGAGCTCCGACCATTGGCTAACAATGACTGAGGAAGCCATCGCTTTCTGCTTTGCTCTCGGATCTGCAGAGATAATTATCCTCAGAATGGAACTGCTTGAAACAAGTATGCAGTAGGCAGAGAACTGATGGCTGGCTAAAGGAGATGGAAAGAGAACAGCCAGCGCTTTCGGTTCGTCTTTTGACCTAGATGATTTTACAGAAGTCACGCATGTGACTGAGATTCATCAGTGATCTTTAGCGGTGTTTCCCAAACATTACTGAGCTATCACTTTGAGTGCTTGTCAGAAATACAGGCAAAAAAGAACCCGAGGAAGGCAGGGGGTTATCAGTGTGAGCTCACATTTCTAAAATGTGCATTGATGTGCATTTGTCGCTAAATCAGTAGTTACCAAAGTACCTTCTGCGGGCCAGCAGCATCCTCCTCTCCTGGGAACTTAGAGAAATGCACATCCCAGGCCCCACCTCAGAAGTTCTGGGGCCCAGCAGTCTGCTTCATGTGCCCCGAAGGGGGTTCTGCTGTGTGTGCTCTAGGTTGGAGAAGCCTCACCCTAGAGCGTCGGATTTTTTTTTTTTTTCATGTGCTGAGGGAAATAGTTGAACAGGTGAAGTGTAACCTTGATTTCCCTCCCTGAAGGAGAGGGGGCTTCTCGTCCTTCCTCACGCTACAGCTCATCTTATCTTCCTCTTTTCCTGGATGACTCTTTCCTCAGCCGTGGACGTGAACTAGACCCCGGTGTTACTGCATAGAGCCCTGAGGTGCCCACAGAAAGAACATCACCCCATAATCTGTGTTCTGCTGACTAACCCAGCCCAGTCACAAAGTGCTCAAACTGCTTTCAGGTTGTCAGCAGGCAAAGAATGCTCAAGACAAGTTAATGGAGGCTAGTTGTTGTCAAGTTACCAAAATTGAAAGTGGAAGCAACAGAGAAGGCAATACTTGCCTGACAGAGTAGCTCTGGCATGTTAAAAAGTACCAAACTGAGGGGCCAGTGTCATGGTGCATCAGGTTAAGCCACCTCCTGTGACACCGGCATCCCATGTGGGTGCTGGTTTGAGTCCCGGCTGTTCCTCTTCCAATCCAGCTCCCTGCTAATGCACCTGGGAAAGCAGCGGAGGATGGGCCAAGTCTGTGAGCCCCTGCCACCAATGTGGGAGACCTGGAGGAAGCTCCTGGCCCAGCCCCAGCCACTGTGGTTATTTGAGGACTGAATCAGCAGATGGAGCATGCTATCTCTCTGTCTCTCTTTCTTTTACTCTGCCTTTCAAATAAATAAAATACATCTGTTAAAAAAAAAAGAAGAAAAAAATAGAAGTACTAATATGAGAAATGGAGTATCAAGCAGGAAATTTATAAATAGAGTAAGCAAAGTAGGAAAAGAGACAGGATTTCCTTAAAAACTGAGGGCCCACTATGGACTTGGACAGCAGGAGAACTTTGTGGCATATTTTAGAAGTATTTCTCAAGGCTTGATGTTAAAAAAGGCAGTTTTACAGAGAAAAGTTACTAATACCAGTCACATTATCAACCTCTGAACTTAAAAGAATCCCTGCTTTACAGCCATGGAAATCAGCTTATTCATACCTTTGTCACTAACTTAATGGCAATTTTGAAATGTCAGATCAATATTGGCTTTTTCTCCCATTATGCAATTTCATTACATTACTCTATCTAAATGCGTAATAATATATAACAGTACACATATTATCATGAACTCATAATATTTTTCTAAAATTTACTATGACTGAAAGCCATTGTGTACAAATATTTAGAATTGTATATGAGTAAGTTGTAATGAAGAAATTTCCAGGGATCTTTGGAAATCTTACTGGAATCTGAATATAAATTTTTTAATCTGTGAAATTGCTAGCTCATTTACATGGTTTAAGGATATGAAATATCCATGTGGGTATACCAACCTATATTTTTTAGTGATATGAACTAGAATATATATATATATATGTATATACATATATATACCTTACTTCATTTGCACAAGGTTTTAAAACATCTCAGTTTATCTTGGTATAAAGTAGGTATATTTGATAAATAATAAACATTTTTCTTTCTTAATATATCTGAGTATAGAAATAAAGTTACAGCACTCAGGATAACTCTAATATGATAATATTTTCTCATTTCAAACAGCTAGTTAAAGGCCTTCAGCAAGAGCTGAATCGATTATATTCCCTTTTCTGTTCTCGGAATCCAGACTTTGAAGAAAAAGGGGGTAAAGTCTCAATAGTGTCACATTCCTTGGGCTGTGTAATCACTTACGATATAATGACTGGCTGGAATCCAGTTCGGCTTTATGAACAGTTGCTGCAGAAGGAAGAAGAGCTGCCTGATGAGCGATGGATGAGCTATGAAGAGAGAAATCTTCTTGATGAACTGTACATAACAAAACGACGGTAAAATATCCTGACCATCTCCAAGAGTTTAAAGTGTTTGGAATTGAATGACTGGAACTCTGAGGAGATGAAAACCTTAAAGCTTTTCATGCTAAAAAGCACATTGTTTAGGATAGGAAGATTAGTAAATTACATGCCCAATCAAGCTAGAGACTTAATTTTCATGCTAATTATGTGAGTTTTCCTAAAACATAAAATAAATCGCTTTGTTATCCTCCTTTTTTTCCTTTACCTTTTCTTCACAATTTGTTAGGAATGAAATCTAACTCTTATTCCAAACTGAGTCACTACATAGAATCCTTATTGAAAATGCTTGCCAGTTTGTAATCGTTTTTACTTTACTGATCTTTAGATGTGGTTCTCTTCTTTATTACTTTTATTCTTCTGAAAATAATTTTAAAACTCTTTGTTTTTCTTAACACATAGCTTTAACATATTTTAAATATGTATGTTCACAAATATAAACATAGATTTTAATAATAGTTTTTATAATTATTTGATAATTTTTTACCCTCCTAATCTATCTTTTAATTCTTTGCTACATTCCCATCTTCATCTGTAGTTGTAACATGCCCTATCTTTGACCTTTAATGACATAAATTAATCTGCTCAGTTCTGATAGAACACTGAAAAAAATCATTATTTTTGATAGTATAACTGTGTTATATAAAAACAGCCAAAGTAATTGACTAAATATTAGGAAGTCTTGGTTTTGTTTTAGTCTTGTAGAAGTTATATAGGGACTTCATTTACAATCTTAAGTAACCATAGGCTAGATAAATAAATATAGTATCAAGATAATTGACAGTTTTAAAGGAAAAATGTCATGTTTGGTAAGCTGTAGAGCAGCACATGTAAGTCCAGTAAAACTTTGTTTTTAAGAGCAGCTCTTTAATATTTATATATCTATTTATTTATTTGATAGGCAGAGTTATAGGGGTAGGGGGCAAAGAACGAGGGAGAGAGAGAGATCTTCCATCTGCTCATTGACTCCCCAAATGGCTGTAATGGCCAAAGTTGGGCCAATCTGAAGCCAGGAACAGGAGCTTCCTCTGGGTCTCCCACGTGGGTGCAGGGGCCCCAGTACTTGGGCTATCTTCCTCTGCTTTCCCAGGCCATGGCAGACAGCTAGATCGGAAGAGGAACAGCCGGAATGCAAGCTGGCACCCATATGGAATGCTGGTGCTACAAGCAACGGATTTACCCACTATGTCCCAGTAAAACTTTTTTTTAGAAACACTCTTAGAAAGTGAATGGTAGCATTAAAAAAAATTATTTCCATTGTTTATTAGATGTAAGTAGACATGGAACATGGTAAGGAGAAATATATGAAATAACCCAAATGTCCATCAACAGAGAAGGGTTAAACTGGTTCCTTGTATGATGGATGGTTACACAGTTGTTATAAAAGTCAAAATTGATCAGGAAACAATAAAATGATTCATTTTTAATAGATTTATTTATTTCTTTGAAAGTCAGAATAATACAGAGAGAGAAGGAGAGGCAGAGAGAGAGGTCTTCCATCTGCTGGTTCACTCCCCAGTAGGCCACAACAGCCAGAGCTGTGCTGATCCAAAGCCAGGAGCTAGGAGCCTCCTCCGGGTCTCCTATGTGGGTGCAGGGGCCCAAGGACTTGGGCCATCCTCCACTGTTTTCCCAGGCCACGCAGAGAGCAGGATCAGAAGTGGTGCAGCCGGGACTCGAACTGGCACGGCAATGCAGGCAGCAGCTTTACCTGCTACACCACAGCGCCTGCCCCAATGATTCATTATTAAATATGGAAAAGAGAAAAACATTTTTAAGAAGAAAAGAAAGCAGACAAGACTGTATTAAGCATTTGTTGTGTTTGTATATATGTTTAAGGTATATGCTTCACGTTTTACTAAGGGATTTTTTTTTTCTTTTAAAGAAGCTGTTTACAGAGAAGTAGGCATTTAGTTAATAAGCCTGTGCTCCACCTCCCAGTGCCTGAGATCCACTCCTATCCCCGGCTCCTGACTCCAGCTTCCTGCTATCACAGACCCTGTGAGGCAGTAGTGATGGCTCAAGTGATTTGATTCCTGCTGCAAGGATTTTCCCAACCCACGTAGGAGACCTCAAGTTCCCAGCTCCCAGCTTTCAGAATTAATCCAGCGGATGGGAGCTCTCTTTGCTTCTCAAATAAATGATTTTTTTTTTTGTTAGTAAAAGCTGTTAACAGCAGAACTTGTGAGGGGTGCAGATGATTTTTAAATTGCTTTATAAGTTTTTACAGACATCCTGTGGAATGGCGGGTACATTTGATTAATACTGCCGGTAGGGAGTGAGTGAGGGATTCATAATGGGTCATCGTGTGCTTTTTTTATACTTTAGTAAATGTCTAATTTGTGGAACTATAAGTAAGTGTGTATATACAAACTACAAAGGTGTGTGTATATAAATGTATAAAGATGTGTGTGTGTAATCTCCTACCACTTCCTAGGCTGAGGGAAATAGAAGAACGGCTACATGGACTGAAGGCATCATCTGTATCACAAACACCTGCCTTAAGATTTAAGGTAAGGAAGGAGGGATCAGCTTTCTGTTATTTATCTGTTTTTTTAAATATCATTTGAAGCATGTCTTTAGAATTCAATTCTGTGGGGAGCAGCCCGGACTGGACTGAGTTACTGGAATTAAGACTTACTCTATGCATCTGCTCTCCCACAATATGGCGCTGGGAGAGAAGTAAACAGCTTCCGCACAGCTGCCTCCAGTTCAACCAATAAACTGTAGGACTTGCTCCTGATTGGAGAGCAGCGTACTCGGCGTGTGGGCAGCCGAGTTGGGATTGGCGGAGGAGGACTATAAAGGAGGAGAGAGACGGCATGCACCGGGAACATCTAAGGGGAACATCTAAGGGGAACACCTGTGCAGCCCCCGAGAGAGCCGGCCGGCGGTGTGCCGCTCCCCTGCGGAAGTGGGGAAAGCGGCCAGGGGGAACCGCCCTTCCACGGAGGTGGAAGGGACAGTAGCCAACCCGGGAAGAACCAGCAGCAAACCCGGGGAGGGCCGAGCAGACGAAAGAACAGCGCAGGGTCCTGTGTCGTTCCCCCACGAAGACGGGGAGCGACAAATTCAAGTTTAATTATTGTTCTTTTAAATGAATATTAATTACATATATTGTGTGTTAGGCATGGCTGGTTTCTAGGTTTTTCAAGGGGAAAAAAAAATGGACAAGACAGTTCCCCAGCCCTGGGGATATTAATGCACAGACTGCTGATGCCACTAGCAGCATGCAGAGTGGCGTCTTCACAGAAGAGGGAGACTGTAATTTTGTCTGTACAGGTTTACAAAGGAAGGACATTCATACCTGGTCTTAGTCAATTAGATGCCATTGAGTGACAGAAAGGAGAAATCCTTTTCCATGTCAAAGAACAGCATAAACACAGGTCTGAAGGGACAGTAACTTCATGGGGCCTCCGAAAGCACCAAGGAAGAAAAACAGAGACAGATATTTAGTGCTGGGAGTTAACAAACCCTAGTGATCAAGTGTTTTGTCAGTGCTGAGAAAAAAGAAGTTGAAGAATATCAGTGATGATCTCAGGGCTGGAGAGCTGCCATTTCAATCCATGGAAAGTGTGTGGCAGAGCCCAGGAGGTGGACAGGGCTAGTCTTGAGCAGGATGAGCAAAGCCATTCGGCTGAAATACACAGGACTTGGGGCAGGGGGGCTGAGGGAGAGCAGGAATAGTTGGAAATGGGCGATGGGAAGCCTGTCAGGGGTTTTGAGTGCCAGCTGGACCAGCTGGCAGCAGAGCTGGAGTTCAGGAAGCCATAGGAGGGCAGCGCGGTGTCCGCGACTGGAAAGGACCAGCCAGGGGACTTCTCAGCAGGAAGTGGGGGATGCCCCAGGTTCCCTGCACTCACTTCCTGTTGAGTGCATGCTCCTGTCTAGTCTACTTTATTACACCTTCTTGAAATGTGTTTGTTTCATCATAAGAATTTACCACAGATTTTAAGATGCCGAATGGAGTATAGTTCTTGGCATCCTCTCTACCATCATTATTATGTATAATCAATGCTAAATTTATAGAATTGATATGGTAGAAAAAAAAAGTTTTATTTTCTGTTATGGATTTGCTACTGGAGACTTGAGTGTTATACGCTAAGTATATTAAGGGTCTTGAAATTCAGTATCTCATTACTAGAACTTACACAATATGAGTAGGTAGCCTTCTGATGCATAGTCATATAATCTAATAGGTGGGTTAATTGTCATTTAATTGTTCAGAAAAAAACGTAAACATCTGAAATTTAGAAAGGAATACCTGATAGAACTGTTAAATTAAAGCTTAGGAATGCAGGGTTTAATACCTAGGAATCCAAGGTTCTAAAGGGAGTGGAAGTCTTCGTGCTTGTTGACCAGGAGATGGATTTACTGTCAGACTGCAGGTGTTAGTGGTGGGCATTAGCCTAGCCATTAAGATGCCCACATCTGGTACTGAAGTGGCTGAACTCAGATCCACACTGTGCTCCCAGTTCCAGCTCATGCACACCCTGAGAGGCAGCCGCTGACAGCTCAACTTCTTGGGTGCCTGCCACCTATGTGGGAGACCCAGATTGAGTTCCAGGCTCCTGGCTTTGGCCTGGCCCTGCCCTGGCTGTTTTCATTATTTAGAGAATGGTCCAACAGAAGGAAAATTTGTGTATGTCTCTCTCTTTCCCTCTCCTCTTCTCCCTTTGTTTCTCTCTCTCTCAAAAAAAAAAAAAAAAAAGTATATTGACAAACATTGGTATGGAGAATAGGGGAATAGGAAACTTTTATTCTGATCATGAGGCTTTGCCAGCAACTTGTTATGTAACATGAACCAAATCATTTAATGTTTCTGAATTCACCTGTTTATTTACACATCTGAATGACAGGGTTAAACTAGATGTCTCAAGCTCTGTTTCACCTTTAAAATAGTTAGATATAAATATCACTAAAGCAGGCATCACTCTTACTGGACAACTATTAAGTCCTTTGTGGTTTTTTTCTGTCAAGCTGTAATCTCATCATGGATAAAGTTTATTCCAAGAATAAAATAATTTAGCAAATATTAACAAAGTGCCTGATCAGTACATAAAGCATTTTACTAGGAGTGTGTGTGTGTGTGTGCACACTTTAATCAAGCAGAAAGAATTTGCATAACTTTCCCCCATTTCTAACCTTTCTGCTTTCCTCAGTGTTTTCATCATAATTTAATAGTCTTCAGCCATCAAGCATGTTGAAGTCACACAATCCTTTAAAAATGTGCTTTTCTCAAACCTTTAACATAGAGGTACTATTTCAAAATACATATTTTTTTTATTTTGAGAAAAAAGAAACTTTCTAGAGTTTGGTGGGACAGTGGTAAAAGTCTATAAAATTGGATGCGAGGATGGTGTTAGAATACAGTCCAAGTAACAGGTGATGAGGTGAAGTGTCAGACTCTGTTAAACAGTGACTTTCTGATGTCGGGGGTAAAAGAGAAGGGTGAGTTTGGATCCCACTCACCAGAACGGGACAAGTGAGGCAGGATGGATCTAGACGAGAAAGTTGTTAAATTCTGTGCACAGTCTGTTGGCCGCCCTATTTTCTCTGGAGCCCTCTCCTCCCTCAGCTTCTATGACAGCACGTTATCCAGGTTCTTTTTCTCTCTCCATGCTCCCTCTCGTAGCCCTGCCTCCTCCACTTGCTGATTAAGTGCAGCCATTCCTCCGGGTTTTATATGAAGCCCTCCTGTCATTCCATACACCTGTTAGGCAAGCTTACTCATTCTTTTGGTTCTGTGTGTCACTTCCATGATGACAACACATACATTTGGATGATGACATTTCTGTCTCATACCCTAAATTTTCCCCTACATGTTACAGATACTTCAATCTTACTATGAACAAAACAGGATTTACATAGTTTCTTTTTTTTATTTTTTATTTTTATTTTTATTTTTATTTTTTTGACAGGCAGGAGTGGACAGTGAGAGAGAGAGAGAGAGAAAGGTCTTCCTTTGCCGTTGGTTCACCCTCCAATGGCCGCCGCAGCTGGCACGCTGCAACCAGCGCACCGCGCCGATCCGATGGCAGGAGCCAGGTACTTCTCCTGGTCTCCCATGGGGTGCAGGGCCCAAGGACTTGGGCCATCCTCCACTGCACTCCCGGGCCACAGCAGAGAGCTGGCCTGGAAGAGGGGCAACCAGGACAGAATCCGGTGCCCCGACCGGGACTAGAACCCGGTGTGCCGGTGCTGCAAGGCGGAGGATTAGCCTAGTGAGCCGCGGCACCGGCCCTACATAGAGTTTCTTATGACAGCTAATGGACCAGTCAGCCAGACCGAAATCTTGTGAATTGTCTCTTGATTCATTTAAGTGTAACTTTCTTATTCAAAACCTTAAGATTCTGAATATCACTACTCCTAGCTGCATTTTCCCCACACCCAGGTTTTCCGCCATCTCAGACTCTTTCTGTTGTCAGAAACCTGCCGTAGTCTTTCCTGTGTGTACATCAGTGTACACGGTGCAGTCAGCCTGGAATGCCCTCCTTCCCAGCCCGCGGCCCCAGCCTCAGCTGTGGAAATGCTTTTCTTCTTTTCTGGGTGAATGCTGTCCCCTCTGGAATCGCCTCAGAGCCGGAACGGATTATTCCTTCCGTCACTGTCTTTCTCTTTGTTGTGCACTTGCTTTATTCTGTCTGCCCCACAGGGTGGTAAACTGTGCATGGACGCTCTCCCTTAGTGTCCCTGCTGGCCCGCACTGTCCATCACAGCAGCTAGGCTGTCACTTCACACGGACAAATGGTTATATAAATCTTTGATTAGTGTTCAGGATCCCTTAGGCAAGGAAATGACTTCCTTCCCCCTTCTTTCTCTTTTCATTTTCAACTTTCATTAAATGTGAAGATACTCATGTTCTCCTGGAACTTAGTCTTTTATCTCTAAAACAATTCACAGTAGGCATATAGTTACCAAGTGATTCAGATAACATCTTGACAAAGCTCATTTAAAAAAGACAAACACACTTGAAGTTGATGTTGTTTATATTTTATCATCTAATAAGTTATGGCCAAATCCCATTGAAAAATAACAACTCAGGAAGGCATTGGCATAGCAATTCAGACGCCGCTTGGGATGCCCACACGCCTTGTCGAAGTGCCTGGTTCAAAGCCCAGTTACTGTGCTTCCAATCCAGTTTCCTGCTAATGCGCAGCCAGGGAAGTAGCAGGTGATGGCTCAAGGGCTGGGAGTCCCAGACTGAATCTCAGCCTCCTGGCTTTGGCCTGGCCTAGCCCTGGCTGCTGCAGGCATTCAGACAAAGAACCAGTAGAAGGAAGATCTTTTGTCTCTGTCTCTGCCTTTCAAATAAATAACTGGTATTTTAAGGTTATTTGAAGTAATTCTGTTTAAAAATTTAAAACAATAACACTTAACCATTTTTAACTTCATCATTTTAGGTTGAGAATTTCTTCTGCATGGGATCCCCACTAGCAGTTTTTTTGGCATTGCGTGGCATCCGCCCAGGAAACACTGGAAGTCAAGACCATATTCTGCCTAGAGAGATTTGTAACCGGTTACTAAATATCTTTCATCCTACAGATCCAGTGGTGAGTTGCAATGGAGACTTTATTTACCTCAATCAATTGTTCCTAAAGGAATATATGAGAAACCTTGCAAGGTACCATGAAAAGAGTTCTTTTATCTGATTATGTCTGTGAAGTTTGTATATTTAAAACACTCACAAAATAAAATACCATGGGCCAGCATTGTGGTATGGCAGATTAAGCTGCCACCTGTGACACCTGCTTCTCAAATCAAAATGCTGGTTCAAACCCATGCTGCTCTGCTTCTGATCCAGCTCCTTGCTAATACACCTGGGAGGCAGCAGATGGTGGTTCAAGTACTTGAGTTTCTGCCACCCACATGGGAGACCCAGATGAATTCCTGACTCCTGACTTAGCCCCTGGCTGTTACAGCCATTTTGGGGGTAAACCAGCAGATTGAAGATATCTGTGTCTGTCTGTCTCTTTACTCTGTCTGGTACTCTGCCTTTCAAAATAAGTAAAATAAGTCTTTTTTAAAAAACAAAATACGTTGGGAGAAAATCTGTCTATGTTATACTTGTAATATAAGAACATAATATAAAATATTACTTCTAGACAATTAATGCAACACAGAGAGTAGTCTACTGGGCTTCTTAACCAATTGTCCATTAACCTAGCAGCATAGATCTTTAAAATCCTGCTTTTAGTACTTTTCTCTAAAGCATACTGCAGTAATGAAATGTGTTTGTTAAAACCTCTTAAAGTGAAAATATTCAAATGCTAAATATTAAACATGAAAAGGTAAAGCATTTATTTTAGCACAGTAGAATTGTTTAAAAAAAAAAAAGTTTGGCTTGTTTCCATTCTCTATTAGGCTTGTGCTGCAAGGATTGCTTTATTTAATTTTTTGCGTAAGCACTCCAGGGATCTTGCATCCAGGTGAACAGTGTAATGCTAAGAAAGATTTTTAGACAAGAAAAATGCTTCCTTAAATCCTTTTGGGAACAAAGTGAGGTATGACAGATATTAATACAAGCTACGTTAGACAGCATTCGTCTCTGTAAGATAGGTTTTCATAATTGTATAAAGTCTTTTAAAAGATCTTTAGTACTAGCAAGCAAATACAACATTGACTCATCACTAGAATTCTTGGAAATCTTCCTTATTTAAGAAATAAACTGAACTGGCAGTATGCTGTTAAATTCAAATACAGAATAAGCAATCTTGACCAAGTTACTTCTGAAACTCTGTGATGTAGAAAGTAGTATTTTGCTTCATAGAGTTGTAGGGTTAAGTAAAATATGTATGAAAACACTCAAAGCATTTCATTAATGTACATTCATTTTACTCATTCTCTTCTAACTTGCAAGCAAACTTGAGTTTATAAATGAACTCTGAACCCTATTCTTTGTATACATGAAACTTTGTAATATTATAAAGATGTACATTTTTATTCATTTTATAGTTTTTCTGTGACTTTTTAAAAAAAAATTAGAAGACAGAAGTCTCCCATCTTCTGATTCACTTCCCAGATGGCCCAACAGCCTATGCTGGGCCAGACGGAAGCCAGGAGCTAGGAATTCAATCCTGGTCTCCTGTGCGGGCTGCAAGAATCCAAGTACTTGAGCCGTCACCTGCTGCCTCCCAGGTTTCACATTAGGAAGTCGGAATCAGGAGCAGAGGCAGGACTTGACCCACAGCCTCCAGTCAATGCAGGCAACCCAAGCAGCATCTAAACAGCTACACCACACACCTGCCTCTAGGATTTTCTTTAAATAATGTATGTCAAAACTGTGCTACACGGTTTTCACAAACATTATTCTTCATATCCCTGTAAGGGAGGAAGGGTTACCTCCTTCCTACAGCTCAGGGAGCCGAGGCCCTGAAACCTTGTGTCCTACAGGCATTATGCACTTAGTAAGTGACAGAGGCCAGAGTATGGACTTGGGGGATTCTGATGCAACGTGGCCTTGTTTCTGTATCCTCCGTGCCTCACACTAGGTGAACGATCTTAGGTGGCACTGAAGTTGTGCTGTTACATTAATCTGCTTGAAAACCTATTAGAAATAGTTTAAGAAGAACTCCTAGAATACTTAAAATACTTACTTACTGGTGTTCCAGATTACCATCCGGTATTTTGTTGAGACTAACATTAATCTAATTATTAGATGATATGAAAACATAGTAAGAATTACTCCATTTCTATGCAAAACTGGTTAATGGACACTATTAGCCTAAATTAACTCCTCTTGTTTTTCTCTCTTTTTTTTTTTTTTTTTTTTTGTCATAGTCTCATTGCTGATTTGGGATTTGGGATTAGACCAACCACATATTAACACTGAACAAGCAGAAATACATGTTTGAAATATTCATTGATTCATTGTATTTTTTAATTCCTTAGGGTCTATTTATCATACAGTAGAATAAGAACCGTTTACTAAAATTCAAGCATTCTTGTTTACTGTTGTGTTTCTTCAAATTTTTTTAATAAAGGCTTATCGATTAGAACCATTAATACTAAAACACTACAGCAACATTTCACCTGTCCAGATCCACTGGTACAATACTTCAAACCCTCTACCTTACGAGCACATGAAGCCAAGCTTTCTCAACCCAGCCAAAGAATCTACCTCAGTTTCAGAGACTGAAGGCATTTCTGCCATCCCAAGCCCTGTGACCTCACCAGTCTTGTCCCGCCGACACTATGGAGAATCTATAACGAACATAGGCAAAGCAAGCATATTAGGTAACTTATTACAAATATTCCTTATCTGTGAATATAATCATTTTTTATGCAGACATTCAATCTGGGGGACCTAGAAATAATCACTGTGTTACAAAACTTGCAACACTTACATAATCCCCATGTCTGTATTAACCACTACTCTCACTGTTCGTATTTGAGGACTGTAGCCTCTACAGCACTCTGATCTTATCGGATCCTGTAGTTTCAGCCTATGAGATAGTTGGGTGGACCAGAAAAGCATCCTTCTAAGTTCCCAGTCGCTTTCCTCTCGGACCTGGCGCTTACGGGGAGAGCTGAGCAGATCGCGTGGGGGTTGACGCTGTGCTTCCCCCTCTCTGGGTGTGCACCGTCGTGTTCTCTGATCTGGTCTAGAAGTCTCTCAGAGTGCAAGCTTCTCGGGGGAAGCATGTATATTTAATTTCCCTTTGAATGAGCTACAGCGTTTGCCCAGTGTTTGCTTTAGTCCTGAAACCCAATTTTATGCCAGTTGAATTTGTTGCTGTTACAAATTGCTTTAATATGAAATGCCACAAGATGGCACTCTACAGAAGCTTTATCTACTGTGCTTACTTGATACTTCACTTTGTCATACTCAGTTTATTGGTAGCCTTTTATAACATAACCACTTCATTTCAGTAGTAAGCATACCCATAATAATAAATATACCCATGTCAATGGCATGGTTCAATGGGCAATGACTGATCTCATGAGTGAAATGGAATTTTGTTTCCCTTTGTTGTGTATTCCTATAAGCTATACTCATGAAGTTTTCACAAATTTTACCATTTTTATTTAGAAACCTACAGTATGAATTATAGTTTTCTTAGATTCCCACCCTGGAAAAACATGACCAGGGCCTGGTCCCTCTGCCAGCTGGCTGTAATGGTGGGTGGTGCTCTTCAGTGTGGTGTGTGGTGTGCCAACACAATGACTGGCCTGTTGTGTGGAATACAGGGGCTGCTAGCATTGGAAAGGGACTTGGCGGAATGCTCTTCTCAAGATTTGGACGTTCATCTACATCGCAAGCCTCCGAGACCTCAAAGGACTCCGTAGAAGACGAGAAGAAGTCAGCTGCCTCACCATCTACAACCACTGTGGCAACACAGACCCTGCCACAGAGCAGCTCTGGCTTTCTGGATTCTGCATGTTAGTTTTTTCCTTAAGTTTATATTGTGTCTTTTTACAACTTGAGTTGAGCAGAAATGTTTAAAATTTTAACACTAGCCATAGGCCGGCGCCGCGGCTCACTAGGCTAATCCTCTGCCTGCAGTGCCTGCAGGCGCCGGCACTCTGGGTTCTAGTCCCGGTCGGGGCACTGGATTCTGTCCCGGTTGCTCCTCTTCCAGTCCAGCTCTCTGCTGTGGCCCGGGAAGGCAGTAGAAGATGGCCTAAGTGCTTGGGCTCTGCACCCGCATGGGAGACCAGGAGGAAGCACCTGGCTCCTGGCTTCGGGTCGGCGCAGCGTGCCAGCCGTAGTGGCCATTTGGGAGTGAACCAACAGAAAAGGAAGACCTTTCTCTCTCTCTCTCTCTCTCTCTCTCTCTCTCTCTCTCTCTCTCTGTCTAACTCTGCCTGTCCAAAAAAAAACACTAGCCATCAACTCTGAGGTCTAAATCAAATCTAAATCACCTTTTAAAGAAAAAGCATGTTTTTTTACATTTTTAAGAATGGTGTCCAGGTAAATACAGCTTTATTTTCTGCACTGAGAAGTTAATATTCAGAACACTAATATCAGGGCCTTGTGACACCAGAGTCTTGAATACCAAGCGTGAAACAAGGCTCTGGAGTAAGTGTCCCCTGTTTCTTATAAAGTAGATCTCTGTTCGTGTGATCTTCTCTGACTTTTTTAAGATTCCTGTAACTGCTTCAGATCTACGCTGTGTCTGGTCTTGAGACTTTTTTAAGACTGCTGTGCCAAAACCATTCTGTTGCTAATTCCATAGTTCCCTTCATCCAATCTAATTATAGGACTGTCAGAGCTTAGCCTTTGTACTGAAGTCACTATGTGGGTTCCAGCCCCATCACGGCTGTCGAGTGTGAAGGCAGTATTCAAGAAATGAGTGAATGAAAAATGAATGGTTATGTTGGCCTTAGCATTAGAGTGGAGCTTTAAGTTTTCTCAGTGAACATAAAAGGGGTAAAAGTTGAATAGTTGTGAAACACTAAGATGCTTAATATATACTTCCAGAGATCCACATTTAGACATTATTTTATTTTACAAAAGAGTTAGAAAAATAAGTGATGTCTTACTTTTCCATTAATGTCTATAAGGAAGTATAGATTCTGAAACTAGCTACTGCAAAAAGAGAACTTTGCTTTCTTTCTCTAAAAAAATGTAAAGTTTCATTGCCATTATACCTCGCATGGTTCTCTGTGTCTGCTGCCCTGAATTTTAAAATGACCAGCGCCCGTTGTCATCCTTAAAACGTGCTCTCCTAGGAGGTAGGAAGGTGAGTGCAAGTAAGTGCAGTGCTCAAGACCTCCACAGTACCCGCCCCCCATTCCAGGGTGAATTACCTCTGGAGTTGGACATTCCTGTTTGGGTCAATAGCACTTTTAATGTAATTTAGTCTGCCACACTCTTGTACTGAAAATTTTATAATTACATGTCTTTTGAACATTGCCCGGAGAATTCTTTTTAGACTTTGGTATTCATGTTAAATGTATATTTTAGTTTTTCTGTAAGACCTCCTGTACTACCACTAACTTTTCTCTATTACTTAGTATCAAACGTGAAATTGTGAAAATACAAAAATTTGTGACATGTCAATGTCAAAACTATAAAATCAGAGAAAAATTAAGTTCACAGAATTTTGTAGGATGACAGGTAAAAAGCAGAGTTCTTTGTAATGAAGTGATACTAGGAAACATTAGGATGAGTGAGGGAGCAAGAGGATCAGAATAGGAGATGAGCCCCAGAAAAGGAGTGGTGAGAACATGCCCCTAGAGTCTGAGGGGAGGCGGCTATCCAGAGAAACCTCACAGAGGTCAGTGGACCGCAGTGCTTAGTTGTATCACAGCAGGATGTTTTGGTGGTTTTAACAAAATGCATACATATTCTGTCATTCTTGCATATAAATTCTTTCTAGTCCTAATGGTAGATTCCTTGTCAATATATGCTCAACCAAATCTGAGTTCCTTGTTAGCCTTAGTTACATATACTCATCTCTAGATATAAATACTAACGACTAAAATTGTACTACTGCTCAAATAGATTTCTTCCTTTTAAATCAAATCCCCAGGACTTGCCATACAGATTCTTTAACTTGCTAAGTAATATGCTCTTCTGTGTAATCCTGACTTAGACAAGTTTCTTATAATTGCTGTCTTGGCTATATCTTGCAGATTATTCAAACTTTCCCTCCTGCAATCTTCTGGAATTTGGTCATTGTGCTGAGGTCATCCTGGCTGTCTTTCTTCTTCCTACTCACATTGATTGCCTCTGTTCTTGGGTCAGCCTGCACGTTGAAGCTGTGTCTTTGAATCTTGCTGAGATGAGATGGACATGGCCTTTGAGTTCATGAGCAGTCCGAGTTTCTTTCCAGAGCAGGTGTTGTCTGTTCAGACATCTGAAGCACCTCGCAGAGCTATACTCCGTTTCTTTTGAAACAGCTAGACTTCTTTTCAGGGATTTCCTGTTTCATTTCTGTGTCCTCCTGTGTTTGTAACATTAATGAAAAGAAAAAAAAAGCTTTCTTTGAGCACTGTTTTGCCTATTGGTTACAACCTAAATGAGCTATAAATTTGAGGGATATTTGGGTGTTAACAAAGCATATGTTATATTTCAAAGTTAACTATGCTTCCATTTCCCGTGGAAGAGCTCGTGGCAGAAACCAATGTGTGTTTCTTTGTGTGTGCTGGGCTGAATCAGCTTAATTGGAAATAGTGTTCTTTCGGCCGCTGTGTCACTCATTGAAGGCCGTTTCTCACCATGAGCCAACCCTTTACAGCATATCGTGTTTTCTTTCCACAGATTTCAGACTTCAAGAATCGTTCTTTTATCTCCCACAACTTCTTTTTCCGGAAAATGTAATGCAGAATAAAGATAATACCCTCGGTATGGTATATGTCAGGAATAGCCACTCAGAACACCATGAAAATGGTTTACTTAGCCTTCTTCTGCTCATTGAAACGTTGCATTGGTTCTTTGATGAGATCAGCTTCAGTATCACCACTGCAGACTATTTTATGTGTATTTTCCAGTCTTAGATTACAGTGTTCCTGAAACCTAAGTGTTGCTTAGCTACTTAATATGCTAAAATATTCCTGTACCCGCCTTCAAAGTAGGACCCTTTCAGAGAGGGGAGAAAAGCATCAGGGCCATTTTCCTCCTTCACAGATTTCAGAGAGGATCACTCTTGTTTTCATGTAATCCCTTTGATACAAGGAAGTTCATGGTGCAGAGAGCTTGATCATTCACCGTTACTGAAGACACCTGTGCCTTAGCCAAAACCTAGCTCAGCGTAGCCATGCCATGTAATTTAGGGGGCAGATTCACTTTGAAAATAGTATTACTGAATGCAAGTGATGTTGTCATTCTCTTCATTTTCAGCATTTTTTTTTAATTATTTACTTATTTGAAAGGCAGAGTTACAGACAGGTAGAGGCAGAGAGAGAAAGAGAGATCTTCCATCCACTGGTTCACTCCCCAAATGACCGCAGTGGCCAAACCTGAGCCGATCCAAAGCCAGAAGCCAGGAGTTTCTTCTGGTCTCCAACATAGGTGCAGGGACCCAAGGACTTGGGCCATCTTCCACTGCTTTCCCAGGTCATAGCAGAGAGCTGGATCAGAAGTGGAGCAGCCGGGTCTTAAACTGGCACCCATACGGGATGCTGGCACTGTAGGTGGCGGCTTTACCCTCTATACCACAGTGCTGGCCCCAATTTTCAGCATATTCTAAATGTATTACTAAGAATTAATCTTAGCATTTTTAAGTTATTTTTATGACTAACTTCTCATTCACAGCTTTTCTTGTCTTTTTAAAAAAAATACTGGATTTGTGGATTCTGTCTTTGGTAAAAAGCGTGGTGTTCCCCCCTCCTTTGGCTATTTTAACCACACTTAAATTTATATTTTTGTTGCTGGTTTATATATTTTCAGTTTTCAAAAATTTTCTTGTATTACTTGATTTATGTTCTAAAACCATGTTTTTTTATTTAACGAGCTGGCTTTTGGCTTCATAGCATCAGTTGATGTTGATCTAATTCCATGAATTCTCCCCACAAAATGGTCTTAATATAAGTACTCTCTCTGGACTCTGCCCATGTAACAGCCGATCAGTTCTACAGTCAACTTCCGCAAGGGAATAGCAGTCACTTCTATAAAAAATAACTTGATTTAAGCTTTTTCCATTTTGAGTTTAGGGAAGGAAAATTAATCACTCACACATTTGTCCAGCAATCAAGTGGCCCTGATAATCTTAGCGCCAACCCAATTCACCTATGCAATTAAACCGTTCCTCATAAGTACAGCAGATTTGCTGGGGGTATTTGTGTGGCTTCTGTCTTCATTCGGCAGATATTTATAAATGTTTACTGTGAGCCAAGATACCAGGATGACGCGCGCCATAGTTCTGCCCATAAAGATGCTGAGAGCTGGAATGGAAACTCTTGCAGAGGCTTCCATCCTGGCAGGGAAGGCAGAGGGCTGCGTAAATCAGTGTAGGATGTGGTAGCACGGATGAGCCACACGTGGAGGTGCAGGTGCAAGGCCTCGGGCCCCTGCTCTGCGGAATGAGAAATTGCTCCCACCTGGAGGCGCCGTAGAAGGCTTTGTGGGAGAGCCGGTGTCTGGACACGCAGGGAGGAGCAGCTCCACGAGCCAAACCGCGAGGTGCAAAATGCGTGCCACGTGGAGAGCTCTAAGTTAGTTCCCCTGAGAAAAACAGGATGGGGGAGAGGGAGTAGTTCTGAATACACATTCCAGCAGATCTGGCCATTTCATGGAGCTCTTTGTATTGTCAGATGTTGAGAACTGGAGCGTATTTCAGAATAAATTTTGGAAAAATTTTTTTCACATGATAATTGATCATAAAATGGAATTCAGTGGTTTTGTTATTAAAAAAAAAAAAAGAAAAAAAAGGAAGATTTGTTTATTTGAAAGACAGAGATCTTCCATCCAATGGTTCACTCCCCAAATGGCCAAAACAGCCAGATGTGGGCCAGACCAAAGCAAGGAGTGAGGAACTTCATCTGGGTCTCACACATAGCTGGCAGGAACCCAGTACCTGAGCCATCTTCTGCCACTTTCCCAGGCACACCAGCTTAGGACTGGAATAGAAGCACAAACAGCCAGGACTCAAACTGGCACTCCAGTAAGGGATTCCGGCACTGTACACAGTGGCTTAACCAGCTGTGCCATGTGCCAACACCTTATCCTTTTTAGAGTAAAGGATAGTTGGAGGCTATTGTTAAATATAATTGCAATTACAGCAATTCACAAATTATAAATATCCCTGCATGGCTAACACTTAAGCATGTGAACTGTATAGTTGCCAACAAGAACTCTATAAACATAATGTTTCTGGATCGGTGCTGTGGCATAGAAGGTTAAGCCTCTGCCTGCCAGCATTCCAAACGAGCACAAGTTCGAGACCCGGCTGCTCCGTGTCTGACCCAGCTCTCTGCTATCACCTGGGAAAGCAGTGGAAGATGGTCCAAGTCCTTGGGCCCCTGCACTCATGTGGGAGACCTGGAGGAAGCTCCTGGCTTTGGCGAGGCACAGCCCCAACTGTTAGCCATTTGGGGAGTACACCAGTGGGTAGAAGACCTCTCGTCTTTCCCGCTCTCTTTCTCTGTAACTGTACCTTTCAAATAAAAATAAACCTTAAAAAAGAAAAATTTCAGGGGGCCGGCATCGTGGCTCACTTGGCTAATCCTCCGCCTGCGGCACCGGCATCCCATATGGGCGTGGATTCTAGTCCCGGTTGCTCCTCTTCCAGTCCAGCTCTCTGCTGTGGCCCTGGAAGGCAGTGGAGGATGGCCCAAGTGCTGGGGCCTCTGCACCCGCATGGGAGACCAAGAGGAAACACCTGGCTCCTGGCTTCAGATCAGTGCAGCGCCGGTCATACCGGCCATTTGGGGGGTGAAGAAGGAAGACCTGTCTGTCTGTCTGTCTGTCTCACTGTCTAACTCTGTTGGCCTAGGAAGACGCTATGCAGTGGCACTGGGAAGTGAGTCCTTAGAATATCACTTGACGGTCCTCACCAATATCAATAGACGCGTTTCCTAGCCCTTCTGCTTCCCTCGCTTTCCTTTGTGACTAATGTCTCATTTGACTTCTTCATCAAGCTTGGGAATTCCAGTTTCCTCTTCTATTTTCATCTTCCCATCCATGTGCCAGGATGAACTTGCAGATCTGACACAAATGCCCTGTGAAGTACAAAAGATAAAAGATGAGGGTGTTTCCACCTGCAGGTCTACATAGGATTTTTGGCTGCTTCTGTCTCACTGTGGATTAGTTTATTATAACCTAAATGAGAAAAATTGCAACTGTAAGACTTGATAAAAAGTCTAATGTACTTTACAAGCATTTTACAGCCTCATTAGTATTCAGACTCCTAAGTGTATAAACTGCCTCTAAAGGCGTGTGGTGGATCAACGACCATTCCTTGTCAGGAAAGCATAAGTGAATAAAAATACTTGCGCCCCGGCGCCGCGGCTCACTAAGCTAATCCTCCGCCTTGCGGCACTGGCACACCGGGTTCTAGTCCTGCTCGGGGCGCCGGATTCTGTCCTGGTTGCCCCTCTTCCAGGCCAGCTCTCTGCTATGGCCAGGGAGTGCAGTGGAGGATGGCCCAAGTCCTTGGGCCCTGCACCCCATGGGAGACCAGGATAAGTACCTGGCTCCTGCCATCGGATCAGCGCGGTGCGCAGGCTGTGGCGGCCATTGGAGGGTGAACCAACAGCAAAAGGAAGACCTTTCTCTCTGTCTCTCTCTCTCACTGTCACACTCTGCCTTATCAAATATAAAAAAAAAAAAAAAAAAAGTGCCACCCCCAGAGTCACAAGATTCCCATGTGTGATCACCAGATCCCTAGTGTACAGCAAAAGCCGCCCCTGCCCCAGCCTTGTTAGTTCTTGTCGGCTTTTACGTTTCACACCCTTTGGTGCTCTGAGCAGAGCAGACTCTCGGTGTCTGATGGGTGGTGAGCGGGGTGCCCTTATTTAGTTTGTGGGAGAGGCTCCTTCAGAATGCTGTGTGGGCCACTGACCGTGTTAAAGGAGCTCCTGAAGATCAAAGTGCCATTTTTCTAAGTGCTCCTCTCTAAGGATTTGTTAGTCCATTAAAATTCACTTACAGCAGAATTAGGGAACCTTTCTTCTGCCAGAGGCCATTTGGATATTTGGAACATCATTCACAGGCCTCTCAAAATTACCAACTTAAACATGAGCCTGCTGTGGATGTATTGAATTTCAAGTCCCGCCACCAGTTGGCTTGGCACAGCCAGATCGAATGATTTCACAGGCTTTGTACTCCCCGCAGCCTGGACATTCCCCACCCCTGCCTCAGCCTTGATTTTTTAGGTGATTTTTCTCATACATATATCGTAGGAACTTTCTGAGCATTTTACAGAAGACCGTAGAGTTAACTGAATTGGTGAAGAAAGCACTGTTGGAACAAAGTCCTTCCCTCCAGGAATCCCTACCACTCTCCCAGGTTAGGTCTCCAGCCCCTCCGTGGGTTCTTTTGTTGAGCAAACGTTGAATGCGAACTTGGGCATTCCAGGCGTGCTAGACTGTGCTCACTGGACTAGGTATGTGGTAGCTGCCCATAAGGAATTGAGCTTAGTGTGGAAGAAGGCGTTCTAGGACTGTAAAAATGAGCATGTTCCCCCACAGAACCCTGTGACAAACAGGGCTTTCCTCTGTAAGGAGCCATCGAGGGGTCTGCTCTGCTCCCATGGGCACTGTTGCATGCAAGCCTGCCCCTAATTCTTCAGGGGAGGCATTTTCCTTATTTAACAGACTAGCCACAAAGAGAAATGGTCATGCCAAGACTTGAGCCCAGTTTGGTTTTTTGGGGTTTTTTTTGGTTTTTTTGTTTGTTTTGCTCCAAAAATATTCAGTGATACAAGTGAATTTTTCTGTCCCATATTGGCTTGAACATGCAGAATGCTGTGCAGAGGAGGCTCCTTTGAATGTTTTTCCATAAAATCACAGTGGAGAGTTTCTTAAAAAAAAAAAAAAAAGAAAAGGAAAGGAAAGGCAAGGCAAGGCAGTTACAGAATCATCTATTAGCTAAATTATTACTCTCAACTCTAATAAGTGTATAGAACTTATCTCATTGTAATCTTTACTCATTGGTTAACTTCTTTTCTTTCTAGTGGAGTTGGATCACAGGATTGATTTTGAGCTCCGAGAAGGCCTCGTCGAGAGCCGCTACTGGTCAGCTGTCACGTCGCATACTGCCTACTGGTCATCCCTGGATGTCGCTCTCTTTCTCTTAACCTTCATGTACAAACATGAGCACGACAATGATGCAAAACCCAGTTTAGATCCAATCTGAACTCTTGAAGGACATTCATGGCCCAAAACTGATTTTTTTTTTTTTTCTGTTCAACTGGTATGTGTCAAGATAAGGAGATTTCAGGACTGAGTTGTTTCAGTTTTATTTAGGGGCAAGAAATATTTGAGTTTAAAAGCACTTTATTTTATTTTTTTTAAAAAAATGTTTCCCGTCCTGAAGAAGTTATTTATAGTTTGCATCATTTCGATTATGAATCTGACAGAACCTCCTGCAGAGTGATCACACAAAACCTGGAAAAGAAGAAAGCTTGGGTCAACTGCATGTGAACGTCACAAATCACAATCTGACTTTGCCCAAACACGAAGGCATATTGATGGATTGAATCTAATGTCCTAACCAAAATCTGCTAGAAATCTAAAATGGCCAAGGTCTAGTGTATTCTATGTAAAGATTACAAGTGGTATCATTGTTTAGATTTCTATGAAAGCTTGCATTTCCACAATTCCTTAAAAAAAAAATAACAGATTTAAAATGTTTTCAATTTAACTTGTTTAAAGAAGACTAATACTTAAAAAGAAACAATATTTGAACTACTGTATTTATAATTTATTACCTCTGACTAACTGCTTGATTTAAATATATGAAACATTACATTTTTTAATGTTTCCTTTGAGCATAAATTAAGAGCCACATTTATTTTCTATAATGTTTAAGATCCTTTCTTCTCAGAACTCCATCCTTGTACTCTTCAGATGAATATATAGGCACTGTGGCATACTTTCAGGATTTTTTTTCCATTAAAAAGTTGTAGTTTCACATAAATAATACTAGTTCAATTACCTTTCCTTTAAATATTAGTTTTTCACATGTACCTCAGAGGATGCTAAAGCGTTTCTCAACTTGACACAGAGTACTCCATATTGGGTACATCTCATTAACTTTGTTAGAAAATTAATAAATCCTTTTGGAGTAGAGACTGTGACACTATTTCAAATTCTAAACATCCGTGTGCCAAACATTCAGCACGTACGAAAGATCGGAGTGCCAGTAACATTTTATTTTTGATGTGTTTAAGAAAACAGGCACAAGGCACAGCACCTCAGGACTCTGGGCGCCAGCAGGGTTTTCCTCAAAGGCTTGCACAGTGCTTTTCATCTGAGGAGCTCAGAGCCTTTAAGAGGTGTGCACTCAGTTCTGTGTGGTGGCTCCTCGAGGTGAGTGAGTGGATTCTTGTAGTCCACGCTAGCACACCAAGGCACCCAGACCCTCCAAGTGCCTTGCATTCGCTCACAGGGCAAGTCCACGTGTGCTCGGGCTGAGGCCAGGTTGTGTTCTTTGACACGCTATGCGGTGACTAATAGTTCGTGTGTGACCCCCTTAGTGATTGGCAGGCAGTAATAGCACGTCGCAGTTTCTGTTTGGAAGAAGCGGCCGACAAGCCGACGTGTTCCCATCTGTGTTCTCTGAGGCTCTCACCCTCTGGAGAGGATTGCTTCTGTGACACCCTCTGGGTTCCCCGAAAGGTGCTGCCCTTACCTACCTTGCAGGGAACGTCTTGGCTCCCAGGTGACCCCTGTCAGAGCGGGGCCGCATTGTCAGCTGTGCGCCTCACCCACTCCTTTCCCTGTAAGATAAGCCGTGGCCCGGGCGCACGTAGGCTTTCCCCAGCCCCATCAGTACTGTCAGCTCTTTGGGCCTCCCATTGCATTTGCACAACAGAAAGCATTTCTTCTTAGTGTTAAAAAAAAGATAATCCCAAGGCTCCATGAGCATGTGCATGAGTCACGAGGAGACGTTTGCTATAAAAGGCCTTTGGTGAGCAAAGCTGAAGCAATCTTTCTCAGACTTTGAGATTCCTATGAACTCAGGTCATTTTCGTAGCCCGTTGTTTTGTAGCTCTAATTTGGTTCTCAGGAAAATTAAACTCCTGTCACGACTCTTTAAAAGGTCCTGAGTGTTGGTTGCTGGCGGTGGTATCAGACACAGATGCTGAAGCCTCACGGGATTCATTCTTTTCCACTGGAACGTAAAGGACCCTTTCCACCCGAGAAGAGTGAAAACTGTCAGAGCTTTGAGTTCGGTACCTTTTTTTTTTTTTTTTATGTGTTCCTATACCCATTGGAATGTCTTCTTCCTTTGTTCATACTGAAAAAAATCAAATTTAAACACATGGAGTTTATTTGAATTTTTGGAAAGAGCAACATCCAAAACCCCCTTTTCAAAGTAGATGTTCCAGACTCCTGGAGAGGTATTCTCTTTTCCATTCAGTATTTCATCAGTGGAGATGACGATTTGGGGTTTTGTGGTATTCTTGTTTCCGTGTCTCTGCATGTTATCATGAGATGTACTTGTATATACTCAAGGAATATACAGAATATGTGTAATTCTGGCTTGATTTAGAAGCTAAGTCAGTTACTGAGTAACATTTTGCAACTCTATTCCAGCAAGTACTAAATTGGCCCAAAAAAGTTCTGTTTTTGATACCATTAAAATTTTATTCTCTATTTTGTGTACATGGTATGATGATTCTGTTAAATACTAATCAGATCATTCAACTAAGGTTAGAATAAGGAGTTAAGAATATTTTAGATTGAATCTTGCTTTTTTTTTTTCCTTTAAAATTGCCTTGCTAGGGCTCTTTGACAATTTATAACTTTATTTTCAGCAGTGATTTTGCTTATATTATAACCCCAGTGTTACTGTATTATAGAACATAATTGCAGGATATATTGAGTTTTCCAGTAACTGCTCCTTTACAAATGAAGCTAGGCTTAGGAACCCTGCATTCTACTTCTTTGTATTAAACCGTGCCTGTTAGCTTGTTGAAATATGCTGAGGGCCTCGGGCAGAGACCTGTAAACAGGCGTCAGCCTCTGTGTTTCCTTGGTGGGACCTGAAGCATGCGAGCCCCAGCTCTGCACCCCCAGAGAGTCGATGGAAGGAAGAGAGGTAAGTGTGGTGGCAGAATATGACCCGAGGTTAAACTTAACTTAGGTGTGTATCTGAAACTTCCTGTTAGTCGTCGTGTTGTGGAAGTGGTGCTAAAGAAGCGCTGCAAAGAGAAGGCAGTGATCATTCGCTGGAAGACGACGAGAGTTTCACCAGACCAGGTCAGGTGGCTGCCTCCTGTGGCTGCCTCAAGTTTTCTGTCTCTTACCCGTGACCTGCTGCTGCGCCTGGGCCCTGCGCTCTGGTGGTGCCCGCTGAATCTGCAGCTCCAGTCTCGCCTCAGACGTCTGCTCTCATAACTGAGTGCCGTGCGGGGGCAGCCTGGGCTCTGCACGGCCCATTTTGGTCTTTAGGAATTACTGATGATCATTTTCAAAAGCCCTAAGATCTCAGGATGTCTACGGATGTTAGAGGTCCTCTAGTCTGATCCTGTTTTAGTTTTACGTAAGCATTTAAAAAGCAACAAAGGTCACAAGGAGCTGCTGATTGGATGCAGAATGACACGGTGACTGGGAACGGAGGTGGCAGAGTCTCCCAGGAAAAGAACTGTCAGTTGTGGAACTTAACCTGTCACCATCGAGTCTGAAATACGCTTAGGTCACATTTAATGCCTTCACTGTACAGAGTGTCATTTCACAAGCGACTGCTCCCACCCCCTGTGAGGACACGGCCAGCCAGTGACAGAGTCATGGTTAGCACCCGCCCCCTAAAGGGCAGAAGCTGCCTCTCTTGCTTGTTGCCCCTCACCCTCACCCTCACACCTTGTGCGCGCTCACACTCACCTTGCAGCAAGCTGTTGACAGTGTGTAAAGGCTCACCGCCTCCGTTGGTCTCCCAGCCCCTCCTGCAAGAGCATCCTACCAGGCCTGGATGGACTTCTCTCTTCCAGGAGCAAAAAAAGAGCAAACCAATGAAAAGCAAAAATAAGGGGGAAGCCAATACCCAGGAAGGATTTTATTCGTTTTCCATATGGTGACAGATGCAGACTTTGTCAGGACACAGGTTGCACGCTGTTGAATAGTGTGTAATGTTCCCTTGCGTGGTGTCTATTGTTGTCCTTTGATCCACTCATGACAAGTGGGCTGTTTCCACAATTTTGCCATCATCAGTTAATGCATAAAAATTTAAGTACCATACTTTTTGTAGACTAGAAGTGTTTTTGCATGTGTGTGCGTGTGCACACATATGTGCATGTGTGTGCGCCCGTGTTTCCCCCAAAAATAGTACTTGGCAGATTGCTGGCGTGAACTTTCCCTTGGCCTTTGTGTTTGAACATGGGCGTGTGTGTGCTTAGTATTGTCTGCTACCTTATGGTTTTTCATTTATGTGTAGCAAGGGACAGCTTGCTTCCTCCCCACCCACAGTTGTCAGGATATGTCGGGAAGTACTCTTTGGGAAGATTACGTCTGGTCTTGTGTTGGAGTAAGATGAGAAACAGGACGGTTGTCCTTCATCATCCATGGGAATTGGTTCCAGGCACCCCGCCCCCTAAGGGCACCAGAATCCACAGAGGCTGTGTCCCTCATGTTTGTTAAATGGTGTGGTATTTGCGTATAACCTGTGCTTTGAATCCTCTTTGGATTGTAATACCTAGCACACTGTAAATGCTAGGTGAGGAGTAGTTACACTGCAGTGTTTGGGAATGATGATGGAAAAGTCTTCACAGATTCAGCACAGTTTTTTTTCCAAATATTTTTGGTTCACAGTTGGCTGAACCCACAAGACCAGGAGGTTGTGTGTTAACACTTGACCTTTGATATTTTCTTCGGGAAGAATTCACGCATCACTCCCTCTCCTTGACCATGCCCACTCTGCTTATGTCTAAAACTATTTCACTGACTCCCTGTGACCTCTGTATTAGAAAGTGTAGCCGTTGTCTGGTTCTAAGGCTGTCAGAACCCAAACTGCCCAAGAGTCCAGGGAGACGGCTGCCTCTTGCTCGCAGACGTGTTCCCCAGACGCCGTGAGCCCTCGGACTCTCCTGAGACCCTCGGCGCTTGCCTTCCACTAGCAGGCCCTCTGTGCTCACCCCCTGACACTGCTGAATGTTGGGGCTGACTGCAGGGACAGCCCCTGGAACTTGGCCTTTTTCTCATTGTCAGGGGTGAAGGCATTCTGTTTCCCTGGAGTGTGCATTGTTTGTCTTATCTCTGCAGTGGTCAGCTAGGATGGCAGAAAACGTAAAACTTTGATTCTAGCATTGTCCAGTTCTGCTTTTTCTCAGCTGGCACTGGTGCGTGCACCTTTAATCACTTAAAGCAGTGAGCGGGAGACGTGTTTTCCTGGATGACACCGTGTCTCTGGCTGAATTCGTTTATTCTTTTGCCACAGAGTGCACAGTCCCCAAAACCAAGTTGTGCTACGCATTCTAGGGAATTCTGATCCTATAGTTTACAGTAACCCTCCCAAAAACCCTAGGAAGGCTATATGATACTAAAATCTGTAAGGAGCCGTGGCCACCAAACCCTGTCCCAGGAAGGATAGTGAGTAATTTCAGTATAATTTCAGGACTCCTCAGTGCAGGTTTCTGGAGGTAACCATGGAGACTGGGACCAGTGCCCCTCCGTTTGCACTCACCTTCCCATTTGCACCAGAATGACTAAAACATGGCATTTGAGATACCAGATGTTTTAACAGTCCAGGAGTTTCAGTGCTGGACAGAAGGAATTCCCTAAGGTGGCATTGACCTTGGGTTGGGAAGGAAGTGGCCAGGATGAAGGAACCACATCCAGAACTGAGACGGGACAGTGTGTGTGGGCCGTCAGAGAGGAGGAGTAACAGGGAAGGAGAGAGGTCGGTGTGTGGTCACCACGGCCTGGCAGCATGGGCGTCCCAAGAAAGGAACCGCAGAGACAGTGTGCCGGACAAGGGGGCAGGGCCCCATGGGCCTGCTCCCCATGGTCATCGGCCCCAGCCCCAGGTGCCAGCTGTCATTCCAGGCTGCCCACGCACTGCCCACCTGACTCGTGCCTCGTCTTCCACCAGCAAACTCCATACCATTTGACTAGAAATGACCGCATTTTACTTGTAGCCCCGCCCACGCCCTGTAGTTAGGGGCCTCCCTGAAGCCTTTTCAACCCCTGGGTGGAAGTACTTTTTCTTTGTGGGGGTCCTTGGGCCATGGTTCTCTCCGTGTGAGCCATGGTGAGGCTCTAAGGCATGTTTTTTTTTAAACATTTATTTATTTATTTGAAAGGCAGAGTTAAAGATCTTCATCTGCTGGTTCACCCCCAGATGGGAGCAAACACTAGGGCTGAGCCAGGTAAAAGCCAGAAGCCAAGGTCTTCATCCAGGTCCCCCACGTGGGTGGCAGGGAACCAAACCTGTGGGCCATCCTTCGCTGCTTTCCCAGGTACATTAGCAGGGAGCTGGATCGGCAATGGAGCAGCCGGGACTCAAACTGGCGCCCATATGAGATGCCAACACGGCAAGTGCTGGCTTTACTCACTATGCCACAGCGCCAGCTTCACCAGGAACTTTTCTAGAAGAACAAAAATTCCTTGCTTCCTGGAGTTTGCATTCTAGCAGGGAAATTCTGTGATCAAAATTCGTGGGATTGGCTGAGTTGGGAGAAGGAAAGGCAGACCCTGCCTGGACCCAGGAGAATCAGATGACAGGGACCTTGCTTTTTCTTTTTTTTGACAGGCAGAGTGGACAGTGAGAGAGAGAGACAGAGAGAAAGGTCTTCCTTTTGCTGTTGGTTCACCCTCCAATGGCCGCTGCGGCCAGCGCGCTGCGCTGATCTGATGGCAGGAGCCAGGTGCTTCTGGTCTCCCATGGGGTGCAGGGCCCAAGTACCTGGGCCATCCTCCACTGCACTCCCTGGCCACAGCAGAGAGCTGGCCTGGAAGAGGGGCAACCGGGACAGAATCCGGCGCCCCGACCGGGGCTAGAACCCGGTGTGCCGGTGCCGCAAGGCGGAGGATTAGCCTATTGAGCCACGGCGCCTGCCGGACCTTGCTTTTTCCACAACCAAAGAAGGCAAAGCCGACAGTCTTGGGCAGGAGTGGGAGGTCTGCTGGGAAGAGCTTGAAGGCAGAGCTGCAGTGCGCGATAGAAGACCGGTGGTTGCGTTAACCTGTGCCAAAGCAAAATGCCTTAGACGGTGTTTCTCATTACAGGTGGTCCTCACCTGTGCCCCTTAGTATCTTGCAGGCGATCTCCTACAGAGGCCCAAACGCCCCTCTTGCCCTGTGGGATCCTTCAACTTACAGTGCGTGGGCGCCCGTCTCTGCCTTTGTACTAGGTCTCCCCTCGGCCTGGGATGTGTTTCCCCCCACCTCCCCACCCCTGCTTGTGGAACTCTTACTTGTTCTGAAATCAGTAATCTCTGTTGGCAATTAAGAGGGGCGGGGGAGCTTTCCAGCTGCAGCCTCGTCTCTGAATGCCAGGTACTCGTTGCTGCCGGTTCAGCCTCTGCAGCTGAGACCCTATAGAAGGGAATGGAAGCACGGGAGGCAACTGGGGCGTCGGTGACCACTGCAGGTTGGTGAGTGAGTTTGCTTTTTTAAAGCACACACCAGTTAGTTGTGCTTTGTCCCAAGTTTAAACTAAA